CATCAATGTGACTCGCAAACGCAATGAAAGCTTTGTCAATTGGATTGATGTAAATGTGGTGCGCCAGCACTTACTCTCTATGGGAGTGATGTCTTTGTTGGGCTGTGTGTTACTTGGACTTCGCAAGCTGACTAAGTAGACACAGCAGAGACAAACATATTATTGAGTGCTTTGGTGTTAATCTTAACCTGTGTTCTTCGCTCGGAGACGAACCCGTCATAGCTGATCGTTTGAATATTACTTCGCTTGGTTTTTTGCCCCGATATCGGGAATGTTCAGACGGTGTTTGTGTAGCTCAATTTCTTGACGCAAAATACTGCTGAGAATTATTTCGGACGTATACAACTGATCTGGAGGGGTGTTCACAAGCTGTTTGCGTACAGCTGCCCCGGATAGAGCCACATCACTCGTAATCACTAGATCTTTAGCCATAGGTTTTCCTTTATACGATGCCTTGCCACCTGCGCATTCAACAATTTTTACCAAGTCCTTCACTGGCGGCAAAATAGACTTGTGATTGGTAATGAATACGCTCAAGCCGGCAAGCAACTTTCGGCGTTGCTCTGCTGATACATCATACATTGTAGTTTCAAGTAGAAAATGCCACCTTTTTTCCGCTTTCTCGTCATACAGACAATTCGATCGCTCGTCAACCGGCGCGCCGGCTCGGGCTGACTCGTCTAACCATCGTTCATCAAGAATATGTTTGCAGCACGAAATACCACACAACATTTTTACCGTGCGCTTAAATTGGTGGTGCGGAGCGATGAGATGTGTTGCATCTACGATGTTGCTTTCGTAAACTGCACCGGTGATCGCTTTGATTTTAGTGAGAACTGCAGGCGTGGGCTCCAATCCCGTCAAAACGATTCGAACGTTAGTGCTGGCTTGCGTACCAGTTGTCTGACTATTTTCTCTAAGACGACTGCTTGCTATTCGCATTTTACCACGGGTTGCAGCAGGCACCAAATGCCGGTTGGGTGAGTATTTTGGTTTCAGTAACGTGTCTTTTTGTTTCGCTACCACTATCGTAGACGGACTATCATTGTCCGTTTGCGTGTCGTGGGATATATTTTCTTGATGCTGATGTCCTTTCAAATGCTTCAATTCGCAAATTTTCGCTGAAGATACATTTTCTGCCCGGTTCAAATAATCTAAATGGGTCCTTTCTCTATCCAGCCGCGATCGTTTTACTATCGGATAAATACCTTGTGGTGACGAGCTATCTTTCCAAGTGAAAGCATGAGGGGATGATCTTGCATTTGATATAACGATAGGCGACGACAGTGGCCGCCTTTGATCTATTGCGTCTGCAGAAATGTGCCTACATTTCGCGGCTAGACTCGAGTATTTCCCACTCTGAGAGGCGCCTGATCTCGGTATGTCTTCAGCGGGTTCTAGACTCAAATATGTTTTCGCGATCCGACAATCTGTTAGTGAATTCTCCTTCGGTTCAGCTTCTATCTCAGTCTCATTGCCACTGCTGTCCGAATCGTGAAGAAGTGTTGAGCGACTGGATGCCCAATCCGGGTTGTGGGGCCTGTCATACCATTTTGAAGTTATAACAGTTTTTTTTCCAGTCTGAAAATAGGCAGCGGTCGCGGGGTGTCTGGTGGCACAGCCGCCGTGCTCTAGCATGTCGTCTGACATACTCGAGTCGGCATCGTCATCACTGTCATTAAGTTTCGCTTTGTCGAAAGACCAGTACATGTTGCGTGCGGGCGAGGTTGGATCCAGCACTTTATCCTTCACGATTAACTGATCGGGTGCTTCTACAACTAAAACCATCCATAAGTCCACGATAGATCACTCGATGTATCATCGGTACTCTACCGTTTTGATTCTCAATATTTGGCAAACAGATCTGCAATTCCTCCGTTATTCCCCCTTTTTCATCATTGCTCATGCGAACTGACAGAGTATCAACGAAACTCGGCGCCAAGGATTGATTCTCAACTTCAGTTAAAACTTGTGTACATTGGCTATCGCATTGTGCTACATCTCGTTCCGGTTGCGAAAACGTAGTGCGTTGGCGATCATTGGCACTTAACCATTGACTTGTGGAGTCTTGAAATCCCGAAGGAGTTTCCTGCCCGGGCGAACCTCCATCGAAAACGCCGCCAGCCATGCTACCGATCCTTTTGCATCAAAAACGAAAATATTGCACTTTAAACTTAATTGTGACCAATCGATACATGTTAAGCTTTACATTTACAACAAACGATACTTAAGCAACTTTGAAAAGCAATGTGGGCTCGAGACGGTTCTTGTTAAAGTCGATGCGTTGCTGCAAAATGCTGCTCAAGATGAGCTCGACAGAATAGATTCGTTGCGGGTCCGCCTGCGCAAGAGTCTTGCGAACGGCGGCCGAACTTAGCGCTGTTTCGTTAGTGATTATCAATTGTCTCGAATTAGCGCAGCCCTTTGTAACGGCAACTGCACCAGCGCACTCGACAATCTTCACCAAATCCGCCACAGGCGGGAGCACAGACTTGTGGTTAGTGATGAATACCTCTTGTCCCGCGAAGAGCTGCTGTCGTTGCTCAGGAGTAAAGTCATACATGGTTTTTCGCAAATCAAAATGCCACTTGGCTTCAGCTTTGGTATCTTTTAAGCAGTGCACCCGCTCGAAGACAGGACCGCCAGCGCGAGCCGACTCATCAATCCATCGTGCATCTAAGACGTGTGTGCAGCGCGAGATCCCGCACAATAGCTTGACAGTACGTTTCAATTGATTTTTCGGTGCGATAATATGTGTAGCCTTGTAAATATCGTTTTCGTAAGAAGCTCCAGCAATCGAAGTGATTTTCTTTTTCATTGTCTCCGTAGGCTCCACACCTGTAAGAATGATCCGCACCTTTTTTATGTTTGTTTCTTCTGCAGCTGCATTGCTCGCGGCATGTTGCATAATATACAGCTGCGCCGGCACCACAGCATTTTCATTTGGGTTCTGCATCCTCTTTTTTACCAACCTTCTTTTTGAACTTTTTACCGTGGGCAGGGTGATGCTACTGTGAGGCAACTGTAACTTAACAGACGACCGCCGAGATTTTTTGGCTAGCGGGCGTTCGGGTTCCTCTTTCTCAATTATGGTTGATGTGACACTGTCATGCCCACTATACATACTGTCCACAAGGTCATTTGATTTCTTGAAGCCCGAAATTGCTGGATTTAACTTACAAAACGAGTCAGAATTCTCACCTAAATGGTTATTCACCTGGTCATGTACAACTTTAAGCCTTCGCTTTGTCCCAGTGCATACACCATTCTTGCTACTGTCATCAACGACATGGGTGTTTACATTTCCGATCTCTTGAGATTGTCTCTCCTCCTTTTTAGCTCGTAGAGCTGCAAGTCGGGCACTTTCGACAGCCTTAGATACCTGATCAAACCAAAAGTCAATTCGGGTCCTCATTTTTGTCACGAGGGATATGCTGCTGGAAGATCCATCGGAAATATTCAAACTCCACTCTTTATCTCCTCGCGGCTGTTCACTGATTTCCAGCATCGGTTTATGGGTATCAAATTGGCATAAAATGGAATGCCGTCTCCAACCGTTGATCTTGTAAATTATTAACCATCGAGCATAGAAGACGACTTCGACCAAATTCCACCAAGGCTTACTCGAATCCGAGTCTTTTCCACATGTCATCCAAAAGATCCCGGGAAAATAATCGTCGAAAAATGATGCAAACTCTGTCGGTGTTTTTTTTGTCTCTCCAAGATAAGATTTAATATTCTCGGGCACAGGAAGATCGCAGAAAGCTCGGTCCTTCCGCAGTTTATCAATTCGAAATTCATTCATTTCCAAAAGGCCCCTAATAGTTTCATGCCAGCGCTGAGTCTCTATCGAATCCGGCCAAAAAAAAAGCAGTATTGTGTCTTGCAAAATAAGTGCTAAAGAGCGTGATTTGTCTGACGACTCGAGCCCTGGTACACTAGCTGGAGTTTGCTCCAAGAATATCGCATCTTGCTTGAGCTGCAGACGATGCAAAATCATAAATGAAGACCCTGACTTCATATCTAACAAGTTTTGCCTGCTACAAACAAACGTTCCGTCCTGGAAGCAATGGATGTAGACCACACTTGGCTGTGTAAGCGAATTTGTTCTGGACATAGTCTTCGGGCTAAGCTGACACGAAATATCCAGTGACAAAAAGGCTTCACCTTGAAGCAGCACCTTATTAGCAGACAAGTCGTAAAAAAACTCGGCCCCGTCTCCATAAAACGATGCTTGAAGTGCAATTAATTCTTCCTCTTCACGTGAGTCGGCCTTGGCGATTTGAATACAGTGCTTGCTTTCCTCTACAATATTCAATAATTCAGAAACATATGTAATGACCTCTTTCGCTGTGACATCATCGTCGGGTCCAATTCTTTTTTCCTCCTCAAATATGCTGCACAGCGCTTCGATAACCTCAATCAGCTCGTTGAAGCGCTTCAATGGACGATCAACTAGCTTTTCCAACCTGATCTGCTGCTCCATTAAGTACTTTTCAAGGATATCTCCGTCCCAGTCTTTCGGATTTATTTCTAGCAATGAATTTAGTTCTTTTTGTGTTGCTTCACTCCTGCAGAAAAGTTGGACGTAATGTACACGTAGGATGCGGAACATGTCAGCTATAATTTCCACAAGGCTGCTCAGCTTCCGAGCAACTGAGAAACGCCCTCCTTTCATTGTGGGTTCCGTGAATGCCTTTAATTTCACCTGAAAGAATAAGTGGTGGTGCCGTAGCTGTGCTGCTGTCTCGATAAAGCGATCAAGAGCAAGGGAATCCACAATCGAGCCGCCTCGCGATCGGCGATTGAACCGCAGTTTTCGCGCCAATCCCGTCACAACACTTTCAAGAAAGCAGATGTAATCGTCATCCTCTCTCAAATACACGCGCAACCTTTTCTGTGCGGTTTCCCACTGAGCCGCCATGAAAGTAGTCTTTTTTGTTTCCTCGACAAAACTTATTTCTGATATTTAAGCGTTTTTATTGGCTCAGAAAGCCAACATTTAGGTGGTGGTGAGACAAGACATCGACAATTCCGAAAAGCAACTCTACAATGGCCAGCAATTAGCAGTATACAAGCACGTGTTTGCGCCCCGCAAATCTTTAACATAAGTCACTGATAGTCTTTTATACCCGGTGCCGTCCCTTCAGTTTACATTGCGTGTTATTGAGACTGAAAATAAAAGCCGAAGTAGCATAGGGAGTGCAGCGCTGGGCGCGCTTAACTTTCGCAGAACATAAAGGTCGCTTAGCGTTTGACTTCGCGAAATACAAAGCGCAACGTTGACCCTGAGGTGGGTACTCGGCCCAACGTCCGGCTCGAGCTGGCAACAGAACAGCTCATCCACGTGCGCCTACTTACACAGCTGTCGGCTAGGTCTCAACGCCCGAGCATGGCGGGGAAATAGAAGCGCATTGCGCTGCGCGACCCTGTCACCTAACCTAATGAGGTAGATAGTCAATGTGTCAAGTCGTTAACGCCACCGACACCAGAATTGTAAATCCGAAGACATTCAAGAGTTCTTGTACCCTCCAGGTACTGTTTATATCTGTGATAATCACCGCCACCCACAATGCGCTTTCCATGATGTGATCTTTACTTGTTCATCGAGCAGAGCTGGCACTGAGCAACCCGTATATGGCTGGATCCCGCGAGCCTTCGCTGTTGTGAGGAGCGTCGATTCCAATCGATATCCTGAATTTAAGTCAAAGCGTTGCGCAATTGGTGCATGAGACTCAACGTACCTGAAATTATATCGTCACTTAACAACAAAGTAGTCGGATCAGATTTCAGCAAATCGATTAGTATTGACAAGCCAATATCGGAGGTGTCAGAGGAAATCGAGAACCAAACAAATTTGGAGTTGGGCTGAAAGCCAAGACATGCAGAACGATTATGCAGACGAAAGAAGCAGAAGAAATGTTGCATACTTTGAGGTCGAAGACCTGTTTTTTGCGAAAAAAACCTTCCTACACATGCAGTTTCTTCTGTCTTTGAGACGAAGCTCCGTTCACGGCTTATCGGACCTTTTAAGCTCGTGGCCAGCGAGTCCTTGCATATACGCTAAACCTTCCGAGAAAGGATGCTCGCCCAACCGTCTTTTATGTGGGCTAGCTTAAACCGTACCGGGATCCGGCGCAAGTGAATGCAAAAGCATTAGCGCCGGGACGACGCTCAAATGCGTTCGGCCACTCAGAAAATGAGCCAGCAACTGGTTCTGAGCAAGGATCGCGAGAATTCCGATTTTCAATGGCGCCAGGCGCTTCAATGACGCACGAAGTCACGTATTCGTCTGCTCGACGGCCAGGAGCCTCTCCGACAGAGCGCGATAATCCTCAACGTGAGGCAGTCGGTACATAAAATGCTCCAGGCTTTCGAGGTCTTCCGCACAGCGGTAGGCGACCTCGGAAAGATGCTCGGCAAAGTGCCGATGACGACGGACTTTGTCCTCCAAAGCTCGATGAGCATCGCGAGTCACCGGACGGCGATCGACCAAGTCGTCATCGTCCGCCGTCTTCTCGATGCGAATGGTGGCGTCCACTACCACGTGGAACGCCTTGTGGGTTGACGTCGTCGACATGGTCAATCTCAATATCGTGTGAAGTGGAGGATATGCCCCGACTCCAAGAACTCGTGGGAGTTTGAGATGTCATTTCGGTAAGACTGCCCAGAGGTCGTGGCAGCTTACGACCAGAGGGATCATAGCATTCCGCTTCATCGTACACCCTGCGCTTCTCGGCAATAGACAGGAAAGCCGAAGAGCCATGAGCTGAGCTAAAGCGGCTCTGGGCTGCTGTGGCTGCATCCTCACCCGTGTGAGAAAGCACAGAGCTTGCGGGAGCGTAACCCATTCGTCACAGGGCGACAATACGAGGGAATTCAGCGACGCGCCTTTAGTTTTGCAAACTCGAACCAAAGATGGCGTTCCACGGGCACGTCAATCTCCTTGTGGCTACGCGGTATGTTTGCCGCTGCACCCATAGCTCAAAAAGCTCTCCGTCTTCCACAGCGTTTTGCCAGTGGCGAGCACCACAGGAATCGTTTGCATTGCGGATAAAAAAGCGCCTCTGTCTGAGCGCAAAGGCGAGCGCGGTACGTATCCAGCAAATATTATTGCGGAACCAAGAAGTGAGCTTGCAGTGCTTTTCGTTGGTCAATCTCAGCTTGTGTAGTGGCCGGGGCTCGACTACGTAGATACCCAACGCTCGAGTGATCGCGTCCTTCGCTTCTGTAGCGGGATCTGCTGAGCGGAAGACGTGTTCCACACGAGGGTCAAGGACCAACCGTGGATGCGCGCAAATAGCCTCCCTGCGGGCAGCATCAACTGCTATCTCTGTGCCTCGTAAAGGTCATTGGTAGTGAAACCACCTTCCGCGGAAGTCGAGAGGTCGAGAATCGGACACGGTGTCCGCAATGTTTTAGCAAGGCTCAAGTCGCACCGCTGGGGCACCTCGCCTTCTTCTTTGTTTCATCATGGGAAAGGAGTATCCGACTCGTAGTCACTTCCTCCAAATCCTCGACGAGGTAATCCGTAGCCCGTTGGTGGGCGCGGTGCGCGATCGGAAGTAAACATCGCGTCTGCGTTCTTGGTCGTTCGACCCTGTCTGTAGCGGGGCTGCCGTAGCTTTGCGCTTTGAGGAAACGTAACTTAGGTCACCGACCTTTCGTCCAATACTTAGAACAAGTACGAGTCTAGCGGATCGCAATCCGCAACGTCCAAGAGAAGTTAGAACCTTAATACAAGGCTAATTAACTCTTCCGTTTAAATCCAAAACTGACTCTATTTATTTTTATCTGCAGCAAAGCCGCCTAATTTCAAATGCATAGATTTTCCAAAATATGTATAGGAAAATCTAAATACATGTATCACTACTGGCTATCCAGCCCCATACCGCATTCGCCGTATTCGTGCTTGGGTGTGGTTGCACCATGCCCATCTGGTGTGACACACACCCCTTTTACCAGTTCCAATCGATTATTGCTTCAACGAGGCTTGCGTGTCCGTTAGATACTGCATTGGAACAAAACGACTTCCGTGCTCAATGAGCCCTGTGTCAACGACACCGAGGTCTCCAAGTCTCGCTTGTTCCGACAGCGCACACGGGCAGAGCCCAACTTCTTGGGAGGTGGAGGTAGTCGACTACGAGTCTGACACTTCTTTTCCCGGGTGGGATGACGAGGAAGGCGAGCCGCCCCAGCGGCGTCAGACGAACCCTGCTCGCGCCTTGCGGACCCCATGTCCGTTTTCTGACCTCTCATCACCTGAGGGACGTGGTATTATCACCAATGACCTCGATGAGGCACAGAAGCGAGAGCTGGAAGCTGTCCGTAAGGCGGCTCTGATGCACGCCCATCCACGGCCGGTCATTGACCCTCGTGTGGAATATGGCTTCCACCCGGCGGATCCCGCAGTGGAAGCAAAGGACGTGGTAACTCGATCGTTACGCCTCCACATCATCGGGCCATTACGGAAGATGATTCTGCCGGACGGAAAGCTCGTCGAGCTCGTTTCTTGGTTCCACAAGAATTTCCGTTGGAAGCTTATCGCACGCGTCAGCGTGCTAAACGAGGTGGCTCTCGCAACCCGCAATACGGACGATACCTATAGTGCTCGTCCCTGGTGAAAGCGCTACAGATGACGAATCGCTCTTTGAGCGATCGGTGCGACGGCACCGCAAACTTTTCTCACTGTATGCCTTACAGTTGAGCCACAAGAAACTGGACGTGCGTGTGGAGCGACACCTCCGATTTGAAATTGCCAAACTCATGGCACGCCGTCGACTCTCTTCCGATTGTCGCCCTGCGACGTATAGGTCAACCCCTAACGCTCCAGAGAGCCCTGTGTCTGCGCCCGCAAGATCTTAGGGCCACCGCTTGAGCCCAGGTCATGGCTCTTCTACTTCCCTGGCTATTGCCGGAAAGCGTGGGGCGTCTTGATCGTTCTGATCAAAAGCGTCCACTGGGCAATCTTGCCGAAGTGGCGTCTCAAACTCCCACTAATTTTCGGAGTCGGGATATCCCCGCCACTTCACCAGATATTGGTTCTGACCCTTGTGACGACCGGTAGACCGCCGTCCGGTGACTCGCGATGCTCTTCGAGCCCTTGAGAATGAGACCATTTGTGATCGGAGCTCCGCTAAGCGTCATGCTGAAGTAGCATATCGCTGTGCGGACGCACTTGATGATTTAGAGCGCGTCGTGCACCGGCTGCCTCGACGTGATGACAACCGCGCTCTGTCGGAGCGACTCCTAGCCGTGGAGCAGGCGAATGCGTCGCTGCAGGCAA